ATAATATAATATAATATAATATAATATAATATTATAATATATATTATATTATATTATATTTACTAAATTAAATATAATATATATAATATAATATAATATAATACTACCCCTACAATACCCCTTTAAATAACGTTAATTAATTTCTCTAACATCATGATAAACAGTTGTCGAATTATGCGAAATTACTTAGTTTTTTAACTTCGTCCGATAAGCGTATGTTAACTGATCGATGCAAAGCAATTAATAGGCGAATTAAATGTGGTGAATGAAATTCCTTCGGCAAGGTGCATAATTCAGGATCATGTCGGTTTAATCGCGATGATTCAGGAAGGAAGAACCGCGGGGTTTGTTGATCCCGCGACGCAGAGCTTAACGGAAAGGTCGTAAGTTTGTAGTATAAGCGCGATCGTCGGGCCGCATAATGAGCGGATAAGCCGTCTAATGTAGTCGCGGTAGAATATCGCCAGACTGAAGATAGCTCGGGTACGCTTGTGCCGGTTTCCCTCGTTTCTCTTCAACCCTCTGTTTCCACCGTCCTTTCCTTCCCTCTATTGTTTTCTATGTATGCTCTGCGGTGCGACGTCAAGATAAAATCGCAACTCGTTTGACGAAACTTCGGGGACTACAAACGGTTTAAGCTTGCGCTTTGTAACGTAAACATTATACGCCATTGCATTTCTACTGTTTGCCGCAAAACCGGTGAAAAGTAAGCATCCGTTTTGGTAAATTTCCGCGAGAAAGATTTCAACTGCTATATCATTGTACTTGAGAATAATAATTTATTAAATTTATTCGTTAGACACTTTGTAGAAGTAGATGCAATTTTATTTTCTATACTGAATGTTACGTTTATTTACGTGATTATTATCACGTAAAATTAATTATTATGTTATAGAAGTAGATGCAATTTTATTTTCTATACTAAATGTTACGTTTATTTACGTGATTATTATCACGTAAAATTAATTATTATGTTATAGAAGTAGATGCAATTTTATTTTCTATACTAAATGTTACGTTTATTTACGTGATTATTATCACGTAAAATTAATTATTATGTTATAGAAGTAGATGCAATTTTATTTTCTATACTAAATGTTACGTTTATTTACGTGATTATTATCACGTAAAATTAATTATTATGTTATAGAAGTAGATGCAATTTTATTTTCTATACTAAATGTTACGTTTATTTACGTGATTATTATCACGTAAAATTAATTATTATGTTATAGAAGTAGATGCAATTTTATTTTCTATACTAAATGTTACGTTTATTTACGTGATTATTATCACGTAAAATTAATTATTATGTTATAGAAGTAGATGCAATTTTATTTTCTATACTAAATGCTACGTTTATTTACGTGATTATTATCACGTAAAATTAATTATTATGTTATAGAAGTAGATGCAATTTTATTTTCTATACTAAATGCTACGTTTATTTACGTGATTATTATCACGTAAAATTAATTATTATGTTATAGAAGTAGATGCAATTTTATTTTCTATACTAAATGCTACGTTTATTTACGTGATTATTATCACGTAAAATTAATTATTATGTTATAGAAGTAGATGCAATTTTATTTTCTATACTAAATGCTACGTTTATTTACGTGATTATTATCACGTAAAATTAATTATTATATTATAGAAGTAGATGCAATTTTATTTTCTATACTAAATG